CTTCTCTCGCGAGGCAGACTGACCACTCTTCAGTAAAACGAGCATAACTTCGGATCTAACTGTTGGATTGACCTCAAACCGGTGGCATTGGAAAGCTAACTCAAAGCTCTATCTTGTGTTAAATGATGGCCTTAATCGCACCATGATTAGGTCTGCATTCATATCTAAACATTTGACGCGTCTGCGCAGTTGTGCACTTAAAGGCTCCAAAAGACACCAAAATCACCATATTTCTCCATGACGTACCTGAACCTGTAAATACTCTAAATAGACTCCAAAACATATATAATTATCATAAAAAACATATCAATACCATGACTAAAAGTGGGTCAAAATCATGGTATATCACTCTTTCTTTCCACAGCTTTCCTTTTAAACCATAGCTTCTTGCATCGTCATAGCTTCTGAAGTTTGACAAACTTGAGTATCTAGCATCATGACATGGACGTCCAAGGTTCAAAATTTTCCGTCAGATCCTTTTAGACCAAATCTAACCTCAAATTTAAGTAGTTACTCATCTTTTGCTGAACTTTCAAGATCTTTTCCACTGCAGATTCCATCCTCTGAATAAGGTCATGGTTCTCATCATTCTCTACAGCATGTTCCACCAATGAGACTTCATGTACAGAACCAATCTCAGCTTCAACGATCTTGTCACCATCCACTACATCTGACTTTATCCTATGCATATCCAGATATTAGGTGTTGTTGCTGAACACCAAGTTCTCAATCAAATTCATAGCTTCTTCTGGTGTCCTTGTCTCGAGTTTCCATCTCTTGTAGTGTTCAGCATTGTACTATATTTCACATCAATACCCTTGTAGAACTTTTTTAACAGCAGAATATCCATAAAACCATGTTGTGGACAGTCCTTTGGTATCTCCTAAACCTCTCCCAAGAGCTTTTGAAAGTTTATGTAGGTCTCTGAGAGAATGTCCATAGTTTATCTCTTATCTCTTCAGTCCGTGCATAATCAAAAAATTCAGTCAGAAAAGTAGTCCTGACACCACTCCAGGTAGTAAGAGATCCTAGTGGCAAGAGATTAGACCAACGAACTGAATTTCCATAGAGAGAATATTTGAACAACTTGCAGATGATGTAGTCTTTGATTGCTTCATGCTCATGGATGCCAGATGCAAAATATTCTAGTGTCTCAATATGGTCCATGGGATCTTCGTGAGGAAGACCACAAAAAGGGTGCTGAGCCACATAGAAGAATTACTTGGGATTTTATATCAACTCCATGAATTGCTGGAGATTGAATCGCAGACTTATTGGTATAGAACTGACTAGGCTTGATACATTCTACCAGCATTTGCTGTCTAGGAACCTTAGCATCCTCAGTACCAGCAGATGATTCAGAGATTGCAGCCCCCATGTCCATATATCTTATGACCTGCTGCATTACACAGATGACCTTCGAGGTCATGCAGGTCTTGATTCTAATCCCTCTATTTCACAAGCGTCATGACATTGTTTGCTCGTGGATTGGTATTGATCGATGTTCGAATTGATGCATTAATTGATGCTCTCTCACAGTTGTCGATCGGCGCTGTGCGTTTCTCTTTGCAGATAGAGCGTTCCAAACGTGTTGGGTCTGAGAAGAAAATCAATTCCTCCTTGTTGCTTCTGGTACTAATGGGCATGTACCTTAAAAACAAGAAAAATATGTTGTAAATAACTAAAACAGTAAATAAAACCTAGACTAAACCTATTAATCAAGTTTAATGGCGAATCCAATGCTCCCCGACAACGCGCCAAATTTAATATCACTCAGATTGCCCTAAGGAGTGACTTTACTCTCTCTCCAATAAAAGATTCAGTTGTAGTACTTGGGGATCGAATCAACAGGGAGCGTAGGAACATAATAAACTAAAGATATCAAAGTTAAGCTAGGCAAACAGTTTATAAAACAGTAAATAGTGAAAGCAAAGTGAACAAGGTAGTTGTTCGGTTGATTGAAGTTGTAATTCAAAGATGCTACAGTTTTTACAGGTTCAGTTCTAGACTTAGGGATTTATCAATCAAGAGATTAAAAACTGTACTTCAAAGATGCTAAATATTTCATAGGTTCAGTTCTAGAACTCGATATTAAATAAGTAAGTAATCTAGCTTGGGATGCAATTACTAATCAGATGTCTGAATCTTATGTTCCAGCTCTCGCGTGTGAAAAAAGAGTGAGCATCGATCGACCGTATGGTCTGGCCGTCAATTGATGCTACTCTACAAGCATTAAGACCTAATCGATTATGTTCAACTAAACACTAGACAAACTATTGTATGCGCCTAGATATCTAATCCAGCATGGTTCGGGTTCCGTTAATCAATGGCACTTCCATGCCTCTCAATTTTCCTATGATTCTAGGTTCAAACAATTAATTACACTTTCGTGATTTTCTAACTATTCTAGATCCTAGTATTTAAAGATATTCAATAAACAAACCTAGCAATCCTAACAGATTCAGTTTGACATTAAGCTCATGAAATACCTAAATCTAAAAGGATAAACTTAGACAAGATAGAAGAAACTCAAAACATAGTCTGAATAAATATAGAATAGAAATCAAAGATAAAACCAAAGGAGTCCCATCAATTTCTGAAGTAAATTGATATTTTCTCTGACCTTAAGCAAGAATAATGATGTAAAGAAAAGTTTAGCCACTAACAATGGATTAGAAAGCACATAAATAGGATTTAAAGTCTTCCAAGAGTATTCTGGTAATTCACTACAAAAAAAAAAGAGTATTGTTGCGATTTTTTGAAACTAAAATTTTTCGCCACATATTTGTGACATAACATATACTATTTTGTGACTGAATTTTCCTTTCAAGAAATAGTAGTTATTTCGTCACAATATTGTGACTGGTCTTGTCGTAACCAAATTTTGTCACAATTAGTGACAATAACAAGACAAAAATAAACGAGACAAAAACTGTGACATAATTGTGACTATAGTTAATGTTACTATTTCAACGAATATGCGACTGAAACTTGCGTCTCCATTGATCACTCATGCAATTTTTGAGTGTCCACCTGCATTACAAGTATGGGCGCTATCATCTACGCCTACCAACCCTGCTATGTTCCCTGTACAAAGCACGTACGCCAATATGGATTATCTGTTCTGGAGGAAGAATGCGCTAATAGAACCAGAATTAGACACGGATCCTTTTCCTTGGTTAATCTGGTACATTTAGAAGGCTAGGAACGACAAGCTCTTCAGAGGTATTGATAGGGACCCATTGGAGGTTGCACGATATGCAGAAAGTGAATGTCAGGCATGGTTTAAAGCAAATGAGCAGGAAAGTCCGGTCTCAACTGAGAGTGGACCTAATGAGGACCAATTCTTAAGTTTGGGGAATATATGCATGGTAGATGGATCTTGGACTTCTACAAATACTTTCAGTGGATGTGGATGGGTTTTGATTGATAGCTCTGGAAATAGTAATCTCATGGGATTGCGGAACTTTGATCGAGTGGAGTCGTGGCTGCATTCAGAGTTGGAAGCACTGTGATGGGCAATGGAGAATATGCTTCAACATTCGCCATGTCAGAGCTTTGGAACTGATTGTAAGGAGATGGTAGAGATGCTCAAGAATCCCCACGCTTGGCCTAACTTCTCAACAGAGCTGGAAAAACTGGAGACCTTGAAGATCTGTTTTCCTGATTTCAAGATTTGTTATGTACCTAGAGCACAGAACGGTGTTTCTGATTCTCTAGCGAAGACAGCTAGGTCGTTTTATCATAAGCTTGTGTATGTTGGTTTTTCTATTCCGGTCTGGTTTCCCAGACCACCTCAAGTGTCTTGAGTAATAGATCAGCCGTTTGATGTCAAAAAAAAAAAAAAAAAAAAAAAAAAAAAAAACTTGCGTCTCCATTTTTGACGATCGAGTAACTAATATTCGTGATGAATTCATACAAAATTATGACAAAAAAATGTAGTAATTTGTGACTTAAAATACAGTATATATACGTTTCACTTATAATCAATTTTCATTTCAAACTGAATGAAATGACGCTTCCATAATGAGAAATACACAATTCAATAATTTTTTCAAAACCTAGAATTTGCCAAGGAGGAATCATAGAAAATTTAAAAGCTCCCGGTTCAGACTTGGTTATGACCGGTAAACATTTTTTGAATAGACTATAAAATCTACATTGCTTAGAATTACAACCTTATGTTTATTTTCTATGTGTTCAAGTGATGTGGTAAGTGTCACCAGCAAAATATGAATTATATCTAATTAATCCTATAGTATTTATTCTTTTTCTCTTTGCATACATGTTTTACGTTTTAGGACTGCCTAAGGGGAGTATAATCTTATCAATTGGCTACTCGGCAGCAATGGTTCATCTCGGAGAATTTTTTTGGAAAAACATCTGGTCAAGCAACTATCAATCTGATCTGGCGTGAGAGAAACAATAGAAAGCATGGTGTCAATCCTTTGAATGTTACTACTATCTTCAGACAGATTGACCGTGTGACAAGGGATATCATCCTCGCTAGAAGACACAAGAAAGGATGCGACCGACTTCTTTCCCTTTGGTTCTCAAATAGCTAAACTCTGAGACTACTGTCATGAGTTTTTTAAATTAGCTTCTCACTGGTTCTTGTTTTTTTTTTTTGCCACAGAACCACTTGGTTAAAACGTTCGGCTTTCATAGCTTTGTAACCATTTTCTGATTTGGTAATATATTTAACTCTTATAAAAAAATAGTTCATTGTAGCTAAAATTTGGAATCTGTTTAACAATATTGATCTTGTGTGTTCTGTTCTAATTTAAAACATAAGTATACGATCTAACTACTTCTACCCCCCCCCGCTCCCCAATCTCGGCTCCAACCATGACCCATTACCATCCTCCTTCCTCCACCATTGACGATGTCTAGTACCAAAGAAGCATACAGTCTTGTGAATCTTGAAGCTTGTGATGATGCTTGTGAAGCCCTAGTAACTCTAGGAGCATTTAGTGAGCATAGATGCAGAATATACGAAAATGAAACAATCGCTCCCCCAATTTTCTCTTCCAACCCTAGCTTCATCGACACCTCTTTCCCGTGTGCTGCTCGCCTCTCCGGTGCCGTACGGCGCTGTGAGAGGGCTCGACCCGTTCCCGTCTAATCTAACATCCTCACCGGCGTGGGTGTATGTGGTGAAGTCCTTCCGTCTCTGGCCGTCGTCTGTGCAATCGTCGATGTTGTTTGCGAGTTGAGATGGATTAGAGTGGTGGTTTCTTTAGTGACTGAACCACCGATTCAAACATCTCTTCACCGTATGGAAGAGCCTCCCCTGACTCCGGTCGCACCCTGACGGTGAGGGCCTCAAAGTCGCTTTTGGCCATCTACTTCAAGGACTTCTAGGTGTGTGCCATCTGAGCTAGAGGTCTCCGGATCTCGGACCTGGCTGTGGCAACGACTTCATCGTACTCCACTGGGTCAAGATTTTCATCAGGTTGGTTTGCAGGTTTCATCGGGTTGGTTTGCAGGTTTCATCGAGTGGGGGAGTGGAGATTTCTTCGTATTCTTTGATCTTTGAGTCACACTTTGTGGTTGGAGGAGGTAGTAAGACCCAGGAGCTGGTGATGCTGCCCCTTTCTCTATACTGGCTTAGAGGACGAGCACGGTTGAGTTAGTTGAGCGCTATTAAGCACCCGTGGTGTGTGTTGTCCTGTCTTTTGCAGGAACTTGGTTAATAACCATTCTGTTTTTCATCTTGTGTGTTTCAGGTGGATGTGAAACAGAGTATAGAAGACTGAGTGAAAGATTTAATCAACTTTCCATTGAGGAACGTGGGAAACTCGATGAAGAGTTGTTAACATCAACAGCTCCAAGATACGGACACCTTGTGTAACAAGAAATTTTTACCTTATTAAAAACAAACATTGTTAGAAAATGAACTTTCAGATAAGTACAAAACTAAAGAGAAAATAGTTTTTTAGGCCAAAAAATGGTAACATTGTCACTTTAGACTAATCTCTAGTACTTTATGTCCCATTAGACTAAATATTTTCTAAATGGCAATAATGCCCTTAAATTCACTTAAAATTGTAAAAAATTAAAAATAAAAATCTTCATTTCGGGAAAAAAAAGACGAAAGAAACTGCTCTATATAACGGGATCGATCGATCCCGTAAAGAGTCGATCGATCTCGTAAAGAGTCGATCGATCTCGTAAAGAGTCGATCGATCCCAGCAGTCGATCTCGATGATTAAACAAAAATATAAAAAAGCACGGAGCAGAAACTGATCGACCTTTTCAAGTTCAGTCGATCTACACCGATCGATCTACCAAAGATCGATCGATCTCTGTGCTAAATCGATCAATCCCGATCCAAGTTAATTCTTCCAACTAAATTTCATGGGTTTCTTCGGTTCTATCTGGTTTAATTCACATTTGATTTGAACCGAGTAAACACGATTTAATCTACTGATTCGAGTTTTTGGGATCAAACCCATCACTCTCTTCTCTGCCATCACGTAAAAAGGGTAGACAGTGGAGTTCCTCATCCATAAACCCTAATCACTCAGTTTTGCTCTGATTTGGACGATTCTTGAGCCTAATCCACACAATTTCGCGAAATATTTCCGAATCTACCACTCTTCCGTTTGATTTGCTAAGGTTTGAAACTCAATCTCCACTTTTAGAGTTCGAAAATACTATGAAAAAGTTTATTTTTAGGCTTGAATCGTATGTAATGGTGATGTTTAAGGATGATTTCGCACCCAACACATGCCTTAATTTGTAGTTTTAGGGTAGATTTAGGAATTTTAGGTATTGTTCTTAAAAATTTCAATTAAACCTGAAATTTAAAATTGAAATTGTGGTAATTTTGATCTAGGATATTGAATTGAGTTGCATTGGTTACTGATAGACATTAACGGAGCTATTATTTTACTGAGCTCTGTTATTGGTTATTGATAGCTACTGTTTAAAATTTTCAGGTATGGAGTTTGAGTTGTCTGGTCGTCTATACGGTGAGGGCTTGGAACCTCAGGTTAAGAAGATTAATAACAGCTATCGACTGAGACTTCTCGAGTTGCTAGAGGAAAAATTGAAGCCATAATTCGATGCAGTGATGAAAGATCCCATTTTCTCGCATATTATAGATATTCAAAAGAATGATCTAAAGTTCTCGGCGAGGCTGGTACATTCTTTCTTGTGTAAGGAGTTGATGACAAGTAAGAAACATGAGAAGTGGTTTACATTTGCAAGGAGGCCTTTGCGTTTTGGACTTCAAGAGTATCATGCTGTCACTGGTCTGAAAGTGAAGCAAGAGAAGACCAATGGGTCAGTGAAATGGAGTGATGATGATGGTTTTTGGAGCCACCAGATAAAGACGCGTGGGAAAATCAACTTGCAGATTATAAAAAAACAGTATTTGGAAGAGTAGTAGCTGGACTTGGGTTGATAGGGTGAGGCTGATCTATCTATGTATCATTATGGGTGTGGTGATGGGGAGGGATGAGAAGGTGAATATCCCACTTCTCTACATGAAGTTAGTGATGGGTTTGGAGAAGCTTCGGAACTACCCTTAGGGTATGTACTCGTTTGATTTCCTACTGAAATCGATGGAAAAGTCAAGGCGTAAATTGGAGCAGAAGGAGGGGTACCTGATGGAAGGGTTCTTGTTTGCTTTCCAGATTTGGATTATGGAACCTATTCCTGCTTTAGGAGAGATTTGTGGCACAAAAGCCAGTGACGATTTTACAGGTCCTCTGTGTGGTAATTGGACAGGATGTGCTAAATGTTCTTATGAAGATATCATTGGCGTTGAGACTTTATTTCCAGAGAAGGTATTCATATAGTTTCTATTAAATTTCTTTGGATTATCTTGTTTACTTTACTAATTATTTGATTGTTCTGTAGGGGATTTTGCATTCATTCATTGAGATCCAAAGAGATGGAGTATTTGTAAGGAAAGATGAGAAAAAAGATGAAAGAGTGGATTGCATTCTTGATATGATCCAAAGAAAACATGATTGGAGTAATCATGTTTGGAGAGTAGAAGAAACTACCAAGTTTGTATTTGAGGCAGCTGGCGATGAGGAAGGAGAGGAAGGAGAGGAAGGAGAAGATCAAGCAGCTGTTATTGAGATTGGCGAGAATAGTCATGCCACAATAAATGTTGATGGCAGAACTGATGTTTTGGGAAGAAACAAGAGAAAGCATGCAGACCAAGGAGCAGAGTCAAGGAAGAAGGTGTTGTGCCAGCTAGCTGCTTCATCGAAAGGGAACAATGACGCAGATATGCGAAAATTCTTGGAAGGTGTTTTACAAGCTTCTTTTACGGTTTTGGAGGAGAAACTCAGTCAGCAGTTCTTAGATAGAATTAACAAGTTTGAGACAGTGGTAATTGACAGATTGGGAAAGATTGAGACTAAGGTTACACAGCTCAGGAAAAAATTACTGGTGACTGAATTGGCAGGAAAGAATGATCAACCAAACGTTCCTAGCAAACGCAAAACCGACACTGGTCCTAACACGAGCCAAAAAGACATAGCTCCATCAAAGAAAAAGGTAAACACTAAGAAAAAATGTTAAGAGTTGTTGGAACTTTGAAGTTTGAAACAAGGGATGGAATGTAGGTCTTTGAAGCTAGGTTGTTGGAATTTGGAACTAGGCGGCAACACATTTTGTAATTGTATATATGCTACGTTAAACTTGATGTTTATGTAATGGCTCTATTTTGACCTTGATGTTTGTATGTGTAATTTGTATTTCGAACTTGACGTTTATGTAATGGATGAAGTTTGAACTTAGATGTTTGTTTGTGTAATATGCTTTTTGGGACCTGGCGTTTATGATTATTGTAGTCTCTGATATCTTTTTACGTTTATTAACAAGTTGTGAAAAAAAAAGAGCTAAAGGCTGATGATATATATGTCAATTTGCCTCGTATAAACTTGACTCAGTCATCAGCTATTGATCTTCATATGAGTACACAAGAATTTATGGAAAATTGCTTGAAGGATCTTTCTGAGGAAATGGTTTTTAATGGTTTCGATCTTTCTCAACTTAAAGCCAAAGATTCTTTGGAATGGTTGGAACCTCCAACATCTTTGAAGATAACAGCACCACGATTAGATGACCGAAAGATAAAGCAAGCCGGGAAAGATGATCCTGACAGCTGCTTGGTGTTTGTGCGTGAAGAAGATTTTCAGAAGATGAACGACTGGACTAATACAAATACGTAAGTTTTTCCATTGTATATATCATTATTATGTTAGTAATTGACAACTATACATTCTATTTTGATTATAGAGGCCTACAGCTCAGTCCTTCTATACTAGATAAGAACCTAGGATTGTGTGTTGTATCGCCTAGCAGCTGGCTTCAAAACTACATAAGGATTCAACTGGTAAATTCTATAAAATGTTAGATATCATATGAACTGTTTACTTTTTCTGTAGGAGATTGATGCTTCATGTACGTATTCCGGGAAAGATCAACACTGCAATGATGGAAAGTGGATCGTGTTGTTTTCATGACATGTGTCTTCAGCGATCTCATCGCTCACGATTACATAAATTTTGGTCAGGGTATTAAGCAAAACAAGTTGGATTTATTACTGGAATACGGTAAAGGTCAACTGCCTTCTCATGGAAGAACAGGAAAGTTGTGGAATGTCGATGTGGATCGGATGTACGTTCCTGTATGGGTCATTTGCAACCATTGGATTGCTTTATGCATCAGTTTTGTGACTAGGAATATTCAGGTGTTTGATTGTGGGGGTAAAAAACATTAAGGAAGTGGAAGCTTTCGCGCAGCTTATTCCTCTGATTGTCAAATTTGTTCAGTCAGTGACAATACAGAAACATCTCACCGTCACTCCGTACACTGTTTCCTATGTACCTATGAGACGTCTTAAACGACAAAAATGTAATTGTGGTGTGTACACTCTAAAACACATTGAATGCCACTTGCTTGGGCAGGACATATCATTGGTGAATGATGATAACATTAACGGAGCTCGGCTAAAGATTATGTGGGATCTTTGGGAAGCAGCTACTGATCCCAAAATAGTATTAAATTAATAGGTTTTAGTTACGAGGAATCAGAACAAGACTTGGTGGCTACAACCATTAAGGCTTGATTCATAATGATTCCAACAAAAAAGATTCAAATGGGACTTGGTGGATACAACCATTAAGGCTCACTTCATATGAATTCTTGGATATAGGTCAAAAAGAAGTGATTAGGACTTACTGGCAACCACCATTTAGGCTTGGTTCATGGAAGCATGTCCAATCTTGGTCAATAATCATGCCTTAGAAGCATATTTTGACTCAAGAGAGAAATTAGAAGAGAGAAAAGATAGGAACTAACTTTTACTTGCAGATCCAGATACTTGTTTGAAAATCCTTGCATCATGTAATCGATACTCCCAAGGTAAAGCCTGCACTTTAATTTTATGTTAAGAAATGAGGTTAGTTGAGGGGAATGTCAGATAGTATTTTCTAAGTTGCTGGTTAGATGAATTTGGTTGCTAAGCTAGGATATGGCATAATGAACTTTTGTGATTAGAATTTCTTAGATGTGGATTGCAATATTATAGAGGTGATGATTTCAAGGTTTTAAATATGTGACACAATTAATTGGCGATCGATCGATGCTCGTGATGGTTCGTGATTGACATTGATCAGGTGTCGCTTGATGTGAGTGTAGACTATCTTCCTTAATTTTTTTTACCTCAATAATAAAACGAAAAAATAGTGGTAAATGAAAATAAAACCAAATTGAAAACAACCCTTATTGAAAACAGCGTTTATTTTCAGTCATCAGCTTGACTTCTGGAGATCTGATTTAGTCTGGTTTATAATGAGAAACTGCTCCAAAACAAGTATCAGTGTCTCTCTTCCTTATCTTGTTGATACAACTAGTAAAACCTCTTTCAAAACTTTCCCCTTTGTCTCTCAGCGCTGAATCACATAATACTCTGACCTGGGTTAACTGTTGTAGACCTCCTTTGCAGCGCACTTTACACTTAAAACTTCTCTCCAGACATCGCGAAGGATCCAAGAATAGGAAATCTGCATCTACATTCTTTTTCTTTTTTCTTCTTCTTGCACCGTTCTCCATACTTAGTCATTCCATTCTCGGCTTGTTCTGAAATTTGGAGGACATCGATCGATTCCGATGGCTGGATATCGATCAATTATGGAGGCCTAGGGTCGTTCGATGCCAACAAGTGAGTATTGATCGACGCTGATGCTAATTTTGCGGTCTCGTGACTTGAATCAGCTGTAGATGCTGGATCATAACACATCTCTATGTACGATCAACATTAGTCAGGAACATCTTACTCTTCTTGAGATCACAAATTGCCCCCACTGTAGCCATGAAGGCTCTTCCAAAAAGAAGTGGAGATGTCTTGCCTGGTTTGATATCCACAGCATGAAATTCCACAAGGATAATGCATTCCCTATCTCCACCTTAACATTCTTGATCATGTCTGCTGATTTTTCTTTGGACTTATCCAAGAAAGTGAAAATATCTTGAGAAGGTCCCATCTTTAGTCTTAATTGCTCAGAGGTTTCTATGGCCATGATGTTGACTCCATATCCAGTATCGCAGAGGGTGTTTGGCAGATTGTGGCTGTGTATACAACATGGAATCGTGAACTTTCCAGAATCTTGTTCCTTTTTCAGTGTTCTCTTGGGTTTACGGTTGATCTTGTTGAATAGCAACTCAATGTCCTTATATGTCTCTCTGCTCTCTCTGAAGAAATTACTAAGTCCGTACTTATAATATGCATCCTCAAAAGACATATCCTTAGGAACTCTCTTCACCCATTTATAAAGTCCATCAAGTTCCACTTTGTTAGCTTCTCTCCTGAGGTGTTTGGGAACATAGAGTTTCCTAGATTTCGCTCTCTCCCCGATATAAATTCTTTATTTTGGTGCATGTTGTTCCATGACATGTGCATGTTTGTTGATATCTTGTGTATTTACATGTTTTTAAGCCTCATTTTAGCTTTCATCTTTAGACTCTAGATACATTTATAGAACATTTAGGTTGCATTGCATCACTTTTGCATGATTCAGGTGTTGGAGATTCTCTTTGGTGTTTCTGAAGACATGGGAGTTGATTTAGAGCAAAGATGGAGGATTTGCACTCATTTCATGTCACAAGCTCAAGTACCATAGCGACATTGTCATAGCGACTTATCCAAGTCGCTATGAGACCCATCGAAGCCTGGTAGCGACATGCGTAGCGACATGTCTATGTCTCTACAGATTCTCAAGACTGAAACCCATTTTTCTGAAGTACCATAGCGACATTGCCATAGCGACTTATCCAAGTCGCTATGTGACCCATCGAAGCCTGGTAGCGACATGCGTAGCGACATGGAGTTATCGCTACGGGTTTCCAAGAACGAAGCTTATTTCGACCAACTGTCATAGCGACTTGTGCGTAGCGACTTCATGATGTCACTACAAAGCCATCCTCTGAGATCAAGCCGTACCGACCAATGCATAGCGGGATGAAGATGTCTCTATTAAAGTTTATTTAGCCTTTTTATTTAGTTTGCCCTACTTGTTTTGGGATTAATATAAATACACTTAAACATCATTTTGGGAATCTTATCTTGTATTTTCTCTCAAAACCTAAGAACTTATTGGTGAAAGATCATAACTTTATTTTCTTTTCATCTTATTCTCTTGAGTTTGTTGAGTAATCTTGATCTCTAATCATGTTTAACCAACAATCAATCATTGTTGTTGGGTTAATCATGAGTGTTAGTGAGTAGATCCATTTTAGATTCATGGGATAGGTTGGTAAGGGTGATGAAGTGTAGATCTAAAGTGTTAGGTGTTAGATCCTTGTGTTTCCTTGTTAGATGAGTGATTTTAATGCTTGATTAATGTTGGCCTCTTTAGNGCTTGCTATTTTTAGATTGAATCTTGATCACCTAAACCATATACATATTCCCATGAGTCTAGCCTTCACTAATTGAGAAAAAGTTTGTTACTTGTTAGTTTCTTTAAATTGTTCTTGAATCATTTGATACTCTCAAAATTGATAGCACTTAGATTAAGCTTTGTCTTGTAATCCCATTGGTTTATGATTACTTAGAATTTGTTCGATATCTTTTATACTATAACATTTGACTAGGAATCTAAAAACTCTTATCATCAAATTGGCGCCGTTGCCAAATTCTAAGTTGATGGTAACATTGGGATTTAGTCACTTGCTTGAGACTAAGTCATTTTTCTGTTACTTTGTTACTGATTCTCCTTCTTCCTTTTCCTTTGAATCTGAGGTGTATGAACTTAAGGAGCCAAGGCTCATCAAGTCTAGTGCCAAGAGTTGAGGACATCGGAGCTTTTGAAAGGGAGATAGCAAGGAGGAGAAGAGAAGAAGAGCAACAGGCTCATTTACACAGATTGGGGTTAGTGATGGAACAACATCACCAGCAGCCTCAAGATGAAGCGGGTGTAGGTCTAGGAGCTGACAACCTAAGGCCTCAACACCCACAGCGCCAAGCAAGGACCATTGGTACTCATGATCAGCCTAACATCAATGGTCAAAGAGCTGGTATTAGGGCTCCAGCTGTGGCAAATAACAACTTTGAGATCAAGTCCAGCCTCATCAACATGATCCAACAAAACAAGTATCATGGTCTTGCCTTGGAAGATCCTCTTGATCATTTGCATAACTTTGACCAGCTGTGTAGCACAACCAAGATCAATGGAGTCTCTGGAGATGCCTTCAAGCTGAGGTTGTTTCCTTTCTCTTTAGGAGACAAAGCCCATATTTGGGAGAGAAGTCTTTCAAGAGATTCTATTGAAACTTGGGATGCTTGCAAGAAGGCTTTCCTTACCAAGTTCTTCTCTAGCTCAAGGACTGCCAAGCTAAGGAATGAGATCTCTGGCTTTACTCAAAGGAATCTTGAAAACTTTCGAGAAGCATGGGAAAGGTTCAATAGCTACATCTCTCAGTGCCCTCATCATGGCTTCAACATGGAGAGTTTGCTTAGCACATTCTACAGAGGAGTTTTGCCTAAGTATAGGTCCCAACTTGACACTGCTAGCAATGGATCATTCTTGGGCAGAACTGAAAATGAAGCTTTGGAGCTTGTAGAGAACATGGCTAAGAGAGATTCAGTCTACAATGATGATTATGATAGAAGCAACAGAGGCAGTGGAGGTGATGATCAAAACACTAAGAAGGAGTTGAAAGCCTTACAAGACAAGATTGATCAGCTCATTTCAGTTGGCGCTAAACAAGAGAAAGTTAACTTTGTTGGTGAGCAGAACCAAGGAGGGAATGCTGTGGTTAATGAGGTTGATGGTATAGAAGGCAAGAGGAGCTGTGCTTCATTAACAACAATGGAACATGGTACAAGAAGGAGCCTAACTTTCAGTACAAC